CAGTCAATTACAATGTGTCTGTCTCTGGTGTACAGCACAATATCCCAGTCATGCATATACATATGTATATTCATTTTCGGTTTTTTTTCCATTAAAGGTTATTACAAGATATTGAACATAGTTCCCTGTGCTGTACAAAGGAAACGTTTTTTAAATCTGTTCTTATATACAGTGGCTAACATTTGTAAATCTCAGACTAAAAGAAGTATTTCTAACCAGGAGTTGCTTGGTTGGAAAACAATTGTTTCTCACTGCTAGCTTCTACAGATAGTCAAAGAAACAGCATAAGGAGAAAGTTCAAATCCAGGGTGCTACCAAGAACATGGGTTCACAATTATCAAAACAAAACTACATCTGCATCTATGACAAAGGAGGCAAGAATATACAATGGAGAAAAGATAGTCTCTTCAATAAGTAGTGTTAGGAAAACTAGACAACTACCTGTAAAAGACTGAAATTAGAACATTCTCTAACACCATGTACAAAAATAAACTCAAAATGGATTAATGACTTAAATGTAAGACCTGACACTATAAAACTCCTAGAGGGAAACATAGGCAGAACACTTGGACATAAATCACAGCAATATGTATTTTTGAACCAGCTCCTGTAGTAGTGGAAATAAAAGCAAAAATAAACAAATGGGATCAATTAAACTTAAAAGCTTTTTCACAGCTAAGGATACCATCAACAAAACAAAAAGACAACCTACAGAATGGGAGGAAATATTTGCAAATGTTGTGACCAACAAGGGACTAATTACCAAAATATACAAACAGTTCATATATCTTAATATCAAAAAAAATAAGCAACCCAATCAAAAAATGGGCAGAAGACCTAAATAGGCATCTCTCCAAAGAAGACATACGGATGCCAACAGGCACATGAAAAGATGCTCAAAATCGCTAATTGTTAGAGAAATGCAAATCAAAACTACAATGAGGTCATCTCACACCTTTCAGAATGACTATCATCAAAAAGAACACAAACAGGGGGAGGTACATATACATACACAGACACACACAGACAGACACACACACACACACACACACACACACACACACTTACAATGGAATACTACTCAGCCATTAAAAAGAACAAAATTTTGCCATTTGAAGCAACATAGATGGACTTGGAGGGCGTTATATGCTAAGTGAAGTAAGTCAGACAGAGAAAGACAAATACTGTATGATATCACTTATATGTGGCATCTAAAAACTACAACAAACTAGTAAATAAAACAAAACAGAAGCAGACTCACAGATCGAACAAACTAGTGGTTATCAGCGGGGAGGGGGAGGAGGAGTAATACAGAACTGGTAGGTACAAATTACTGGGTGTAAGATAGGCTCAAGGATAAACTGCATAACATGGGGAATATAGCCAATATTTTGCAATCAACTGTAAATAGAAAGTAACCTTTAAAATTGTATAAAATAAAAATTTTAAACTTTAAATGTTAAAATAAAATAATACCACATCTGTAAAACCCTTCACTAAGACCTCAGGAAGACTTAAGACAGTACTTGTATACTCTTTCAGGCAGGTATAAGGACTTCTAAGACTTAACAGGCCCCTAACTTGGGATCTAGAGTAAAGAGAATCCTGTCTCAGAAAGAAGAATGGATGTGAAACTCTTGTCTAATGGACTGCACTTACAATCTGATATATAGAAAACTCAAGTGTTTACGAGTTTTATCAGTTTGGATTTAAAACACAGTTCCAAATGAAAAGAGGCCTTTAGGCTCTTAAAACTGTCACATACATGAAACAGACTAAAGCTACTCAGATGCAAACAAGGCCCTTTTCTTACAGAAAAGTAAAAATGACTAGGAAAGTAGAGCCAAGAGCCCAAAGGACCCAGCCAAGAACTAAGAAAATACAGATCTTCCTTGACTTACAATGCGGTTAAGTATCAATAAACCCATCATATGTTGAAAATATATTTAATACACTTAACCTACTATAAACATCATAGTTTAGCCTACCCTACCTTAAATGTGCTAGGAACATTTACATTAGTCTACAGTGGGGTAAAATCATCTAACTCCTATTTTACAAAAAAGTGTTGAATCCCTCATGTAATTTACTGAATACTGTACTGAAAGTGAAAAACAGAATGGCTGTGTGAGTACAAAGTGGTTATAAGTATATTGGCTGTTCACCTCTGCGATCATGCGGCTGACTGGAAGCTGTGGCTCACTGCCGCTGCCCAGAAACATGAAAGATTATCATACTACATATTGCTAATTTGGGAAAAGATCAAAATTAAAAACCGAAGTACAGTTTCTACTGAATGTGTATCACTGTCACATCATCATAAAGCCAAAAAGTTGTAAGTGGAAACATTACAAATCACGGACCATCTGTAATGAATTATGAAGACAGAACCAAACCATAATCAATGACATTTTCTGTTTCCTGGTTAGATTTCAGAATTGCTTTGGACCAGAGACTACTATATGCTTCCCATTCTTTCACTCTTCAAGGGAAGTAATTATTGTGGTGGACTGTCCCTGTCTCACAATTATATACTGACTGTATCTGGGGGGCACAGGAGGGTGTCTTCTGAATTCATAGGTATCCAAATCAAAAAGACCTGCACCCAAGGAGCCTTATCCACATCCCAGCCTAATGCAGATCACAAGATAATGCACTTTGAACCTGAGGTCATAACTGGATGAGACTTCTGGGCACCTTAGGAGAGCAAGGTGTGACCCCCACATTGGAGAAATGTGAATGGTCCACCAGAGGAAGAATTATGGTAGTCCCTCTGCAAAGATGGCTGCCAACAATTCCTCCTATTCCTGTACACATATGGTAGTCCTCTCATCAAGAGGTGGAAAGCAAAATGCAGTGGAAATGGTGCTTTGTAATTTCAGGCTTAGGCCTAAATGGGCCAAGAAACTTATGTTTTTTTCTCTTGCTATCCAGAATTACCATGATGACAGAACAGCCCAGGCTGATTAACAAACAGGCCACCTAGAGAATAAATGAGGTGTCTCAACTAAAAGCCAGCATTAAGGCCATCTTGGATCCTCAAGGCCCATTTTCGTCATCTCAGTCAATATCTGATGGACCAGAACAAGGTGTTCCCTGCCCAAACTCCTGATCCAAAAATTGTCAGCAATAAAACAGTTATGATTTTAAGTCACTAAATTTTAAGATAATTTATTACTCAGTAATGGATAACTGATACAGGTAGTGAGTGCAGCAAAGGTTACAAAGGGAAGTACTGGGTACTTTCTATGAGATACTATTAAGAATCCTATTGTAATCTGAGAGATAGGGAAGGTTTTCTTGAGAAGTGATACACTTAAAAGTGGTTATTTAACACTATTTAATAAGGGGGAATTATGAACAAACATTTTGTTCGTTGATTTCAAGTCTCTATTTTCCTAAATAAGTTTTTTCCACATTGCACCTGTTTTACTTGTGAAACAACAAAATTTTTTTTAACATTTTTATTGAGTTATAATCATTTTACAATGTTGTGTCAAAAGCGTTATTCTTTAAAAAAAACCTCCTTAAGTATATTATTGGTAGCTTATTAGTTCTATTATATTGAAATTTATTAAGCCTAAACTAAATTTTCCTGTGACAAAATATACAAACATTTAAGCAAACAACAGAAGTTTTGTATTGTCCTATGTAGTTGAAGAATGAGATGTTCTGATTACACTAATATTCCAAAAATAAACAGCTGAAATTGATTTAATAATTTCTAGAGAATTATATTGTATTAAAACACAGTTAACTGAAAATTATACTCCTTTTTTTTTTTAACATCACACTGACTTTCAGAAACTTCTTCAAATTTATGTAATTCCTCACAGTTACCATTGTGGACAGATGTGGATAATGTAAGACTGAGAGAAGTAAATAATACTTTGATAACAGAATTAACAGTAAAAATAACCCCAAAACTGCAATAATGGAATAAAACCAACATGAAAAAATTATACAGAAGTAATTGAAAAGACATACACATTTAGGGTTAAAGAGAACTCAACCACAGAAGTACAAGAGGAGAAAATAATCCAGCTTAGCAGAATGAAAAAGCCTTGGGGTTTTAGCTGACCACAAGACATTAGACAATAGTAAGTAAGCCATATTACAATAAAAATTGTTCATGTAATTTCAGGCTTCATTAACGCATTTAATTAACAAATATTTACTGAGAACCTAAAATGCACCATGTACTTTACTGAAGAACACAGTAACAAGAACCAGGGAACGAGTAATCTCACCATATTTGGGACTAAAACTATATATGGACTATTAAATCTATACAAAGGAAGTAGTTGAAAAAATCAGAGAAGTATGACCTACAAAGGAAGATTTTCTAATATGAATATTGCCCTAAAAGAAGAAGAAAGTTCTTAAAACAATTCTTTCATTTTACCAAAGTAAATGACTACTATATGACAGGCACTGTGCTAGATACTGAGGGATAAGTGGAGAACAAAATACTGTCCCTGTCCTCACTCTACTTACAGTCTAGTAAGCACCCTATCATGTAAAGACTTTCCAGCAGCTATCAAATAATAATCTGTCAAGCATATTATACAAGAGATTCACGTACTTTGATTAAGGCTCAAATATATGACCTCCAATGTTACTTTCAAATCTACAATTTTATGATTATTTACTTATAGCACTGTACCGTGAAAGAATGTAATTATTATTCTGAATAAATACATGTGTTATGAATAAGATAACAGGCAAGCCAATACACACAAACACACACACAGATTTTTTTTAATATTTCCACCTAATAAAACAGCTATGTCAATTTTTACATTTAGCCTGCATAGGCAAACTACTCAAAACCAACTCAAATCCACATTCAAAAAAATCCAAATCTCAAATTTCTATTTCATTTCAATGAAAAATTTTAAAATCTCTTTACCCTAATGATTGTCTTATCCTAGTTAAAAGAATTCCAAAGAAATTAATATCCATGATTTCTCTGGGATTTCTTATATTAATTAATATACCTTTCCATGGCTTTAGCTGTATAAGGCAAATGCATTTCAATACTGTGTTCATCTTCATCTGTCTGCAGAGACATGCGTTCAAACATTCCTGTCTTCCACAGTTCTCCGTAAACTAGAGATTTCAAAATATAGTAAAACAAATATATTAATGTATATCCTTCTCCTGTGAGACTCCACCCAGTAACACAAAACCACATGCTTTGGCAAGAGACAGAAACACCACATAATATTCTCCTTCATTTTTATTTTTAAAAAAGGAGAAAACACTAGCTTCTAACATACCAGACAAAACAATAATACATATAATGACTGACTCTGCATTTTTGTATGTCACAAAGTTACACAAAAAATAATAATTTAAATTTTTCATCAGTTCCTTTCATTGTATCTAAAGTCACCTCTGGGTCTAAGCTTTTCCTTGATCTTAATCAATCAGTAGATACTAACAAGAACATAGGTGGTTAGAACACCTAATGAAACATGGAAAAACCCTTGGTGTACTTACTCATGAGGTTAGTAACACAGTTTTTGAGTTTTCCTTTGTTTTTTAATAAAAAGTATAGGATTATTGTTTTACACCTCAGTTTCGTGTTATACTAAGAACAAAAAAATCCTACCAAGGATGCTATTTTCCACAAAATTTAAAATTAAGCTTGTGGGATAGATTGAAATATAAATTTACCACAGTACCATGCCATAAATGTTCTTAAAATGATTTAGTAATTCAGACCCTCCTGATGAATTATACTTAAAATTAGATTATTATATAGCAAGAAAATGATGAAATTTAATATGTAAAAAAAAGAATATTTTTGTGTTATCACTGAACAGAATCAGCATTTTTATCTTATTTTTTTTAATGGAGATACTGGGAATTGAACTCAGGACCTTGAGAATGCTAAGCACGCACTTTATCACTGAGCTATACTGTCTCCCCAGAATCAGCATTTTTATAACTATATCCTTAAACAGGTTTACCAATATCAAAGAAAGGAACAAATAATGGTATGACTTTTTTTCCTATAAAATTAAACTGATTAAAAATCTCCCATTTCTTCACTGGCAGGCTATCCAAAACCAAAATCTTCTAAATGCCCAAACAAGGTTTTAAAAATAAAGTGTGTCCCAGAGGGGAAGAGGAATTGGATGAAGGTAGTAAAAAGGCAAAACTTCCAGTAGTAAGATAAGTAAGTACTAGGGATGTAATGTGTAACATGATAAATATTGTACATGCTCAGCGGCATACGTTAGATATCAAAGTTGATAGTAAATCCTAAGAGTTCTCATTACAAGGCAAAAAAATTTTTTCTATTTTTTAACTTTCTTTAATTTTGTATCTATATGATGGATGTTCACTAAACTTACTGTGATAACTTTATGTGTATGTGAATATGTAAGTCAAATATATGATATATATTAAGTCAAATCACTATTTGATATATGTCAAATCACTATTCAGTGCACCTTAATCTTATACAGTGCTGTATGTCAATTATATCTCAATAAAACTAGAAGGAAAAAAATTTTTAATTTAACAAAATTCATAAAAAAAGCAGATTAAAAATTTAAAAAAGTATATCCCCTAAAACCATCCCAGAGCATAAGGCTAGTAATATTCCAGCTTCATTCATACGATATATCCTAACAACAAATTGCTAATACTCTATAATGCTTAAAACCCCAAATTATGAAAATTTAGGCCTAAAAATTAAAGAAAAAGAGAGGGTCATTTCCTTTCAAATGGCTTCTTTCATTCTACAGAACAACTTCCTTCAAAATTTCTTGAAACAATAAATACCCAACATACTTAAAATATAATTGCATGAAATGAAAGGATATACACCAAGTTCATGAATGTGGTTATTCAGGGGAATATAAATGGAGTTCAGATGAGGGAAAATTCTGAGTCAACTGTGGATAATAAATTGGTACATGAGTATTTGTTATAATAGTCTCTGTATTATTCTGTATTTTTAAAATTTATGTTCACCCACTGCTCCAAGAATACTATTATAAAATCAAAAGGTTTTACTTTACACATTCAGTGTACAAAATGAGCTTCAACTTAATAAAAAAGGGAGTTTCTATAATCCTATTAAAAAATCAAAACATGTTTTAAAAATAAAATACACTTAAGATCTATGTAGCACTTTTCTTGCAGAGTTTCATAACTAGTCCCTTTTTTTCCCTATAAAAAATCATTTATGAGGAAGTAAAGTCATTATCACTATTATCCATTTACACTGAGAGAGAACTGTTATACACTAACATGCCCAGAATCTCTCATCAAGTTGTTGTGGGTATCAGTTTCTTGTCTCATGGTACAATGAGTACATGGTACCTCCCTGATTATAAATGCAAAGCATTACAGCCTGGAGACTAGTGAATATGACAGATTTTTGTAACTGGAAGAAAAACTGTAGTTGTCTTTTAGGCATATGGAACATTTTCTTTGTTTTTATTTTTTGCAGATTAGTCACAACAAATTTTATTTTTTAATTAAAATATTACTTATAATACTCATATTTTTATTTTAAATTAACTTATAATTCCTATTTTTAAAAACTTTAGCTGTTTATAAGCTGTAAGATCTCTATATACTTACTCTTTTGGTCAATACGAAGGTCATACAGAGGTGTCCTATATATATCCACACTGGAAAGTGCACATCGAGAAAGGGGCACATGATGAGAAGGCCCAAGGATGAAAATTCTCCGGCTAGGAGATATACAACAAAAAACACAGAACAATCGCACTTCTACACAAACCTTATTAAATAAAAAGGTTGAAAATAAGTAATTTTTAAAAATTACACGTAACACTGTTTTCCTTGATTGACTTCATTACCTACTATTATGTGCTAAATTGTGTTCCCTTGAAATTCATATGTTGAATTCCCACCCTCCGCACCTCAAAATGTGGCCTATTTGGAAATAAAGTCTTTAAAGACATGACTAAGTTAAAACGAGGCCCTGAGGGTAAGGCCTGAATCCAGAATGACTGGTGCAAGCAGAGGAGGAGACACCAGGGGTGCACGTGCACAGAGAGGTGAGCGTGTGCAAAGGCAGCAAGAGGACAGCCATCCACAAGCAGAGGAAAGAGGCCTCAGAAGAAACCAACCCTGCAAACACCTTCATCTTGGACTTTTCCAGCATCTAGAACCGTGAGAAAATAAATTTCTGTTGTTTTAGTCAGCTAGTCTGCGGTATTTTGTTATGGTAGCACTTAGCAAGCTAATGTACCTACTAATGACTTGCTCTTCAGTTAATTTAGCCTTAACTCTGTCTTTTTGTTAGAAGGCCTTTAAAAGTACCATGTTCAACACCTGGAAATACCAGTTACTGATTATATACAGTAAACCCACTGACTATGCTTAAAATGACCTCTGTATTCACAATGGCAAGGATACAGGTTTCCAATAGCTATATTAACTGAATTTTAAACATTTTGGTTACTAAATAAAATCTCAAAAGTATAACACATTCTAAACTTGCCTACAACGTTAATAAAAATACCTAACAGTATAAATTCTAAAAATACATAGTATCATTACAAAGAAACATTCTGATAAAGCTACTTCCAAATTTCTTTCCATGGCAGGGAAAAAAGGCATCTTGTTGAGAAGAATTCTGTGTAATAAGCTTTCTCTGTTTCCGTTCAAGTAGAAGTCATTCTCAAAAACAAAGAAACTTAATTATGTGTCATTTGCCCTGTAGGCTAAAGAAAAGAACTGGGCTAAACAGTAGCTTAAATCTTCACAACCCCTTTATCTTGACAGCAAAAGTAAAATTAACTTCTTCTCATTTTATCTTAAACAGCTCTACAATCTACATTCCAAAACTATCTAATTTCTCTATTCTTCTAGATTCGTAAGAACAAAACTTTCCCCACCACACACACATACACAGATCCAAAAGAACCAAAAGTATAAGAAAAAAAGGAGTATATGTAGGCTACATACCTAGAAAATTAAGTGCTACTCACTGCTCAATTAATGGACAAAGACGCAAAGACTGAGACCCAGAGTTATATTCCTTTCACATCAAAAACTTTCAGGCTATGACTGAAACATTATGCTATACACCAGAAACTGACACAACATGGTAAACTAACAACACTTCAATTAAAAAAAAAATCTTTGAAATAGGAAAAAAACAAACAAAAAAACTTGCAGGCCAAGGAATGTGTGCTTTATCAATATATTTATTTTGATAAAATCCTATTATAGCTAAGAAAATTAGCCTATTATCTGCTATACATTACTTGCTATATGGGGGGTGGGAAGGTGGTGAATAAGAAAGATGTGAGAAGCAATTCTGTTTAGTCCCAAAATCTCCTCAAGATGTCACACAGAGCACACATGTAAGATCACTCACAGGCCATTTCCAGTCAGAAACATAATCTCTTTACCCTCTCCCCTATTAATACTCACTTCTTGTCATCATCTCCATAATCAACTCAATAACCATTTAAGAAAAAAAAGATCAAATCTATAGATTCCTAAATGAACAAAAGAGATACCACTATGTTCTCCTATCTTAACAGCACATAAACATCACCACAATTTTTTAAAGTCTAATGTGGGACTTACATAATGGTAACTCTGAGTGTTTGGAAGACTTGCCTGAGGCCAGGTGTTATATGAACCAAGAATCGAGTAAGAAAAAAAAGCATCTTTTATGATTGAGGAATGTATTTCTATGAAAAGAGATAGGTATAGTATTATTTAAAATCAGAACACTCCTGGGAAACCCAGGATATATAATTAAAATATGCAGTGACTTCAAAAACATCAATTTAGGCATTGATTTATTTCATAGGTAAGTGTAACAAGGTTCCTCTGACAGTGACTATAAAATGAGCACTACTCCAGAAATAAAGACCTGAGGTCGGCTTCACAAGCCTAACGCCTCCTCTGATACCCAAATATTTACCTTGCATGTCTTTTCATCAGACCCGCCCTAAACGAAAGGATGAAGACTAGCGGGGAAAAGGGCTTTCGCCAGTCTGAACTGCCCAAAGGATTCTTTCCAGTTTGGCAGAAACTCACCCAAAAGCAACACAGTGAAGTTCCATATACGGTGAAGAGAGAGAACAGGAAAAGACATTTAGGTCCCATCAATATAAAACCCTTAAAAGTGATATACTCAAAAACAAACCAAAAAAGGCTAGGTATCACTGAAAAGAAGAAAAAACAAAGTGTGTAATAAACCAGTAGTAATCTCAGAATGGGTCTCTGTGTTAGCTATACTCTAACCAAAAAAGAAAATTAATCATGTAAATAAAAGATAATGTAGTTTCTTTTTTATCCCCCCCTAGATTGCTAGATCCATAAAGACCACGGCCACAGAAACATCCTGGAGAGAAATGAGTAGGCACTAGAAGTAAGACCACTTTCTCTCCCTTTAATTAATTACGAGGTTCTTTCTCTTAAAGGAGTTCCTTTAAATATCAGCAAATAATCAATGTTGCCATATATGTTAAAGAAATCTTTAGTATGAAAAAACTGGAAAAAAAAGCAGTAGCCATTCTTTTAGAAATAAATGTAGCTCATGTATAATACCTCCAGAGAATTCACATGGAGCTACTTACTATGAGGGGTACAGTCTGTGCACCCAGTATGTGAGCTACCTGAGTGTGTGCTCATAAATACTTACTGATACTGAATAATGGAACACAAGTAAGTTTTTAAAGTGTTTCACAGCAAGTGGGGGAGACATTTTAAATAAAGAATAAAATGTCATGTGGCCCCAAAGAAGATTCCTTTTTGTTCTCTTTGTCTGCCCTGCAAAGTTTTCTGAAAGATATGAGTCAGAAATCAAGTTACTATCTAAGTAACATCCTGAGTTCCGGTTTTTAACTAAAGTTTTAGTAATAGGAAAAGATTCTGCAACTACAAATATGGGAGAAAATTAATTAAATGTATCATTTTTTAAATTCCTTAAATAGCCAAAGTACTCTTTCTGAAACATGAATCAGATCATATTACTCTCCTGGCATAAAAAGTTTTTCAACGGCTTTTCATGGTCAGAGGACAAATTTCAAAATCCTTAGAATGTGTTCTAAAGTCTCAAATGAACTAGCCCCTTCTTGTGATCACGATACTTTATGTATACTGGTCTTCTTGCAGCTCCTTGATGACAGGAACATCTTTGCCTACTTCAAAGTTTTTACACGTGCTATGGCTCCTTCTACTTGGCTTAAAAACCACATTTTCAGAGATGCTTTCTCCAATACCTTATGCACAATCTAAATCCAATCACTCTATGTCACAGCAGTTGTTAAAGTGTGAACTATAGACTCCTCAAGATCCTTTCAAGGAGAACACAAAATCAAAACTATTTTCATAATAATACAAAGAAGTTATTTGCCTTTTCACTGTGTTGACATTTGCACTCACAGTACAAAAGTGAGGCTGGCTAAACTGCTGGCACATTAGAACTACGATCAAGGTAATAGAATCAAAATGTACTAGCAGTCATGTACTCTTAACCTTCACCCACGCCAAGTTTTTTTTTAAAAGCCAGTTCCACTTAATTTCATTAAATCCTGAATTTTGAGTACAGTTTTATAGAAACATTCTGTATGACAAAATGCATTCAGTTTGTGGTGATAAATGCATAAAGTATTTCTGCTGCATAGAGTAGTACATCTCAAGGAAAAATCCTCTGTGACTTCGAGCTGTGAGCTAAACTAGACGTTTGTTCCATGGAACATAATTTTTACTTCAAAAATATGACTGTATACAAATTGTGGTTATTCCAATTTAAGTATTTGGCAGAAAATTTCTAGAAAAATGAACAAAATGAGCCTGACACTTCAAAGAAAACATCTGAAGTATTTGTTGCCAATGATAAAACTGAAACTTTTAAGGGAAAACAAGACTTCTGCAAAACTTCTATCACTGTGAGACTGACAGCTTTCCAATAGTTAAACATTTTTTTGATAAAACTGATGAAATTGATGGTAATATTAACAAATGTGATTTCTGACATCCTATGATGAAATGTCAACATTTGAAAGAAATGCATAACTACTGAACAAATATTTTCCAAATAGTCCCTGAGATGTTACAAAATCATGCAAAGGTAAAATATTCATTCAAAGTACAACAGAGTACAAAAGATGATCCTGGTTAACATGTGGAGAATGGGAAAGTAAAACTGGATGCTAGTGGTGTAGAATTTAATGTTCTCTCTTGGACTGTTATTTTTTCTCTATACTTACCATTCTCAAAGAGATATTGTCTCTATTTTCTCAAACAACTCTATAGACACTGAAAATCTCAGAGAGGGCCACTTTCAAGAGACTACAACTATGACTGCCTGATTATTTTTAACACTGAGACCTTGAAATTTGTCTATTCAGAATTCAATTATTATATATTCTTACTACAAAAATAAGGTGACCACATCAGCATTCATCATTTGCCTTTCTTTTTACTGATCTCCTTTATAATCACCTTCTTAGTCCTTGACTCTCTTCCCTTTTTATTATTTCATTCACACTGTCCATCAACTTTTTAAACACACAAGTTCCAATACAGGCTCTTTATTTTTATATATATATCCCTATGCTAAATTTAATTTGGGGGTACCCTTTCAGCACATAACATTATCAATAAAAACTCTCCAAAATATTGGGAAAACTGGACAGCTGCATATAAATCAATGAAGTTAGAACACTCCCTCACTCCATACACAAAAATAAACTCAAAATGGCTTAAAGACTTATATTTAAGACAAGACATGATAGACCTCCTAGAAGAAAACAAACAAAACATTCTCTGGCATAAATCTTGGCAATGTTCTCCTAGGGCAGTCTACCCAGGCAATAGAAATAAAAGCAAAAATAAACAAATGGGACCTAATTAAACTTACAAGCTTTTGCACAACAAAGGAAACTATAAGCAAAACAAAAAGACAACCTACAGAATGGGAGAAAATATTTGCAAAAGATGAGACTGACAAGGGCTTAATCTCCAGAATATATAAACAGCTCATACAACTTAATAAGAGAGAAACAAACAACACAATCCAAAAATGGGCAGAAGACCTAAACAAGCAATTCTCCAGTGAAGACACACAGACAGCCAACAGGCACATGAAAAAATGCTCAATATCACTAATTATCAGAGAAATGTAAATCAAAACTACCATGAGGTACCACCTCACACAAGTCAGAATGGCCATCATTCAAAAGTCCACAAATGATAAATGCTGGAGAGGGTGTGGCGAGAAGGGAACCCTTATACACTGCTAGTGGGAATATAGTTTGGTGCAGCCATTATGGAAAACAGCTTGGAGATTCCTCAAAAACCTAAAAATAGACTTACCATATTCCAGCAATCCCACTCCTGAGCATATATCCAGAGGCAACCTTAATTCAAGAAGACACATGCACCCCAATGTTCATAGCAGCACTATTTACAAAAGCCAAGACATGGAAACAAGCTAAATGTCCATTGACAGATGACTGGATAAAGAAACTGATACATTTATACAATAGAATACTACTCAGCCATAAAAAAAATAATAAAATAATGCCATTTGCAGCAACATGGATGTACTTGGAGACTGTCATTCTAAGTGAAGTAAGCCAGAAAGAGAAAGAAAAATACCATATAATATCACTTATATGTGGGATCTAAAAAAAGAGAAAAACTTCTTTATAAAACAGAAACAGACCCACAGATATAGAAACAAACTTATGGTTACCAGAGCAGGGTGGGGGGATGGATAAATTGGGAGTTCAAGACTTGTAGATACTAACTAATACACATAAAATAGATAAACAACAAGCTTCTACTGTAGAGCACAGGGAACTATATTCAATATCTTATAGTAACTTATGGTGAAAAAGAATACAAAAACAAATTTATGTATGTTCCTATATGACTGAAGTATTGTGCTGTACATCAGAAATTGACACAATGTAAACTGACTATACTTCAATAAAAATACATTTTTAAAAATTATGCAAAATAGAAAAAGGCTTGGAAAAGACTGTCATATCAACTAGCCTAGACTATAGCCGGTTTTATAGGTCCAGGATCAAATAAGGGAAGATTCTGAAAACCTTTACAATCTAATTTCTGTTTGCTGTGATTGATAAAATAAGTTCAAATTATACATTAAATACGTACTAAGAAATATTTGTTAAAGATGCTCCTCAAAACCCCATAAAGGAAGCAGGGCCAACCAAAACCTCATTGATCTGGCAACATTATCATTTTGTTTATATTACAAAACTTACTAAAAATAATTTCAACAAAGGTATGATAAAAAGTACAAAGACCACTTCATAAAAACAAAAGAGCAGATTTTTAGTTTTAACAATTTGAACTAATTAATTGCTCAAAGGCAAAGGAGTAGGCTGTGAGTGAGATTTTATTTATAAACTCTTGGCTGTCATGAGTTACTTCTGAAACGATTATGCTTTATCTCTACTAGTATAGGTCAAAAATAATTCACGTACCTTATCCTGTCAATGAGAAATTATTCTTAATTCATTAACCACAACTTAACAAGTACAATAAAGAACTTTCAGTTACAAAGTGATTAAAATAGAACAAAGAGCTTTGCTTTTTTCTTAACAATGCTCATCTCCAGGTTTTCAAAGAAAGTTTTAAAAACCAAAATATTAGTGTTCCTGGACCCAGTTCCACTGTGTGGTTCACACGGGTTGGGGGCCCACACCTCCAACAAGCGATTCTCGTACACCAGGAGGGTGACCAAGAATTCTACTAAATTCTGACACTTATCTACCTGGAGATAGCATCCAATACCACAGGTTAAGGGTTCAATCTTCTCCCATCCCCCACTTCAGATGCCAGTCCCAAGACCAGGCTGTCACCCGTACTTCTGATCAACTAGTTACAGATTGGAGATCCATCAATCTCCTCTTTGAATTTCAATTCAGATGCCAATTGCAAAGTCCAAGTTGTTACTCGTACTTCTAACAGACTGCTTTCCATGACCCCCTCCTTGGGTTCAATTAATTTGACAGAAATTTGCTAATTTTGGCTCACAAAACTCAGAAAAACATTTTACTTACTAGATCACCATTTTATTATAAAAAGATGTAACTTAGCAACAACTAGATGGAAGAGATGCAGGTAGGGCAAGATAAGGGGAAAGGACCAGTATCTTCCATACCCTCTCCAGGTGGGCCACTCTCCCCAAATCTTCACATATTCACCAACCCAGAAGCTCTCCAAATGCTATCCTTTTGGGGTTTTATTGGGGTTTCATTACATAGTACTTATGGCACTGATTCAACTTTCAGGTCCTCTCCCCTCCCACTGAGAAGGTCGGGGAGTGGGAATAAATTCCAACCCTCTAATCACAAGCTTAGTTATCCCGGCAACCAGCCCCCATCCTTAGGTGGAGTCTAAAAGTCACTCAGTAACATTAAGAGACACTTTGTCAATCTCACCACTCAGGAAATTTCAAGAGTTTGGGGAGCTGTGAGCCAGGAACTGTGGAAGAAGCTCAAATATGTATGTGAAATACATTTTGGTCATCTAAATGACCAAAAAATATTTCTTATAAATGACAATACTGCATTAACCTCCTAACAATTCCAGAACTAAACATTTTAGCGAAAAAGGGGAAGATAAAAACTAATTGTTCCAACAATGAAAGACAGCATTAAAGCTTCTCATAATCCATATAAGGTAAAGTCAATTCATAATGAAATTGAGTATATAACAGTAAGTATGTAAAGACAAACTGCTTGAGTGCCAAAGCAATGATGATATAACTCCCAAACTTCTCCCACCTGGTCAAAACGGTATCTGACTATGTTACTTACGTAATAGATGGATCCACTTGTTTGTAAGCATGAGCAGCACAAGACCCACAGTATGTATATCCTGCATGGCTACAAAACAAAACAAAATGTGTAACTTAATCATCAGACTCAAAATCAAGTTATTCTGGGGAAAAAAATCTCTTGAAAGAAATACAATAATTACGGTTAACATAACAAAGTGTGTGTATAGATTAAAAAGCAATCTAGCTAATGATGCAACTTTCTAGAAGATAACAGGGAACATATTATTCTTCTGTGTTCCAGTTTTAAATGTTAAAATGTATTTTGTGATTTTTTTGGTCTAAAGGATAATTAGATTTGTTGGAGATATTCAAGGCTTACTTGAAGCTGCCAATGTAACACTAATAACATGTGCGTTTTTAACCTTCCTCTTCAATACCATTAACGAACTATCATCTACACAAAATGGTAAGATTAGAGCAAGTCACAGCAAAACAAATATCCTACAACTAACAACTCACTTCCCTTTGTGTCTTCAGTGGGAAGAGAACTGTCTTGGCCTTCTGTGTATTATTATGCCTTTCATTTGATCTCCCTACTATTCATCCCATCCTTCTCATCCTCTGATTTCAGCATTAAATTGGTTCTCTGATCACCCACACAGTGACTTTGTTTCAGAGCCTCATTTTTCTTTCTTCACTCAAGTTACATGAATCTAGAAACATTTACCTTCACCATTTACAATTTATTTAGTGTATGGCCAGTAGTAGACTGGTAACTGTTTAACAATTGGCTTTGCAGGAAAAAAATGTATATGTACATGTATGTACATAAACTTATTTTAAATTTTACTAAAATAAAAAGATATGTATCATACATTTGCAAACAATAAAAAATATAAACTCTTCATTGCAAATTCCACATAGGCAACCAATTGTCCCAGAATGATTTCACTGATTTTAGCTGAACTCTTTTACCCATAGCCTTGTGATAGTTGCAAATGACAAGAGTGAAACAATTTCACTCATTCAACAACTTGAATGACTTCTTTGCTTGGTAGACAATAGTTCTTCCAATACTGGAAAGTATATTTCCTTCCTCACTTTTTTGTGCTATTCACAATATAAAGGCTACAGACACAACACAATTTTAAGTTTAATCTGCGTTATTTACTTTTCCCCATTACTTTTCTTTAGCACTGACAATCAACAAAAAATAAAGCCCTGATTTGTAGCAATCTGCCTGTTAATATGGAGTAAATCATTCTCATCATGGCCAATTTCAAGATGCACAGTAAACTGAAAAAGACAAAACACGACTGGGAGAAAATATTTGTAAAGCATATATGTGATAAAGGATTTATATTTGAATATATAAAGAAAAAGCATATATCTGATAAAAGATTCATAGCTTAATATGTAAAGAAATTTCAAAACAACCTAATACTTCTTTAAAAAAATAGGTAACTATTTTACAAGACAAAGAGTTCTGAAGGTTGGTTGCACAACAATGTGAATGCACTTAACACTATCATATAAATGGTTAAAAATGGTTAAGATGGTAAATTTTATGTTACATGTCTCTTAACAGAATTTTTTTAAAAGTTTTAAATAGGAAAAGATGTTAACAGATATTTTCACCAAAGAATACACTGGAATGGCAAAAAGCACACAGAAGGCTCTACATCTGTTAGTCATTAAAGAAGACAGGCAAATTAAAACTACAATGAGTTACCACTAAACACTCACTAGAATAAGCTAAAATTAAAATGAGTGACCATACCAAGTGCAGCAAGGATATAGAACTGAAACTCAATCTGTACTTGCGGAAATGTGAAACGGTACAACTACTCTGGAAAACAGTTTGGCAATTTCTTAAAAAGCTAAACAAACTTCTGCCATATAACTCCTGCCAGCTATCCTACTCCTGGAAGAAAAAAATTAAGCATTATGTCCACACAAAGATTTGTACACAAATATTCACCCCAGTTTTGTTTGCAATATACACAAAAACTAGCTAAATATCCCTCAGAAGGTCAATGGATAAACAAACTGAGGTATATCCATACAAAAGAAAATTCTTCAGCAATAGAAAGGAATAAACTACTGACACACTCAAAATAATTTTGCTTAAAAAGTGGTAAAAATAAAAAATAAATACGCTGAGTGAGAGAAGCCAGACAAAAAGGGTTCATACTGTGTGATTCCATTTTAAAAACTCTAGAAAATAAAAACTACTCTAGTGACAGAAAGTAAATCAGTGGACCTGAGAGGGTGGAGGAGGGGCAGAGAGGAACACAGGGAAGAATTACAAAAGGACACAAGGAAACTTCTGAAGATGATAAATATGTTCATTATCTTAATTGTAGTAATGATTTAACAGGTATATACATATTTCAAATTTATCAAATTGTACACTTTATACACAGCTGAATGTTAATCATACCACAATAAAGCTCTATTTTTAAAATGGTACTCATCTGAACTAACTTAAGATACGAATACAGAAAAAGAGATTCACGTAAGTCAATCACAGCCATACAAGATAGTGGTGTGCTTAATCAGGAGTAGAGCAATATGGGTCATATACTAAGTACACTGAAATCACCAAAGGCTTTAATGGTCAGATCAATGGTGGTCCCTCCATCCTTACACTACACCTCTGGCAAGGTAGCCTATCAAGTTGCCTCAATATAGCAATATTCGCACAATCCAGTTCTAATCTTAATCATAAGGAAATTTAAGCTGTTCTATGGCTCAGTACATTCAGTTTTGCTGTCATCCTGTACAGATCTTGATACTCTAGCCTAACCAGGGGCTCTATTTTATCCAGTTATGTCCCCAGTCTTCCAATGCCCAAGACTCCATCTGACTGCTTCAGATTCCTAAAACCTATTTTTTACATATGATCTTAATATTACTTGGCTCCCCTATCTCAATTCAGAAATACATTATCTTGCCTGGCCATGTGGACCTTAAAAACCATCTGATCCATCTGGATCTTCCCTGGTCTGTCTCAAACCTGAATGACACCTCAGATTTTCGATATCATTTTGCTCTCAGTTGTCATTCATTTCACATCCCTCCCACTTTTCAATCTTTACCTTAAAACTGGTCCTTCATCTTAGATTTGCTTTTCAGACCTTAGTTCCTATTTGCCCTTCTTCAATTTAATGGCCCTGAACCCCAGTATATACTCTGATCTGTAAATCAACCTGTCTTTCTAGTCTGAGTCTCTCTCAGTTTTACCAATGCTCTTCCTACCCAAGCTCAGTTCTTACATGCCATAGAGGCTTCTTAGAAACACTGGATTCTTGAAGTATGGATACAACAGAAATATAAAAAGTAGAAGGGTAAAGGCAGAAAGGAAGGGCATAAAGGTTGAAAGAAGAATATGAGCAAATGTCCAAGTATATGATGTAGATGAGAAAATACGACACTAGCCTGAGTGGAATAAGAGAGTAATGCTAATTAAGCCAGGGTCGGACAGAGGAATTTGGGCTTGATAAAACAACTGAAAATCTGCTGTATGCTCTTGAGCAAGGGAGTGACAGTATGAAACTGGAATTAGTCTAGTACTGAAAAACACAAGCACAAAGGATGTATTAGAGGCAGCAGGTGTTAAGTGAAAGTCTCTAGCAAATTGTGGCATGAGGTAGTAACATCACAGTCTAGAACAGTGTCAGTGCCAGTGGAAAAAGAGAAATCAATGGTCTAGGGTCTAAAAAGAAAAACTGACATATCTTAGTGACCAAGCATTAAGAAGAGGAAGAGGACAGTTATGATAGTGGTGACAACTAACATTTCTGAGTGCTTACTGCATGTCAGGCACTCTTCTACAAAAACTCAAAGCATTACTCATTGACAACTCTATGAGATAGGAATTATTATTTTTCTCATTTTATAGATGAAAAAACTAAAGGAGAAAGGTTAACACACGTGCTCAAGGACAAATAGCGGTACTCCAGGACTTAAAAGCCAGGCAGCAGAGCTCCAGGACCCACTCTTAACCACCGTTAGAGACCTTCACATCTCTGAAGGAAGAACAGAAGGAGTCAAGAGTCCACAAAGCAGGAAAAGCAACAAGCCTGACAATTGGAAGACTACTTAAGAATCATGTATCCTACTGGTAAGACTATAAGGAAGGATGATAATTTTTAAAACACGATTAACTAGGGTAGGCAGGGTATATAGCTCAAGTGGTAGAGCACGAGCTTAGCATACGTGTGAGGTTCTGGGTTCAATCCCCAGTACCTTCCCTAAGCATGAATGAATGAATGATTGAATGAATAAATAAATAAATAAACAAACCTAATTCCCTCCCCCAACAAAACAAACAAACAAAGACAAAAACAATACCCCACAATTAACTGAGGTCAACTTGTTTTCTAATAGAACCCAGATTTCTTGGTTTCAGTCCTTTCTGAAGCTGAAGGCTTAAAAGTCTACTTGAAGTAAAGACAAAATAGTTGTAATAAGAGATGAATAGTCTTCACTTGGACAGAGGATATAGCACAGAGTATCTTTTTTTAAAAATCATTAAGTATACCATCCCTCTTAACTCCCATCATGAAGAACTCTACTTAATGAAAGGACCAAGATAATAGTCAAAGAAGAGAATTTCTAATACTTTCTTTTATCCTGGCCTATATATATGGTAATGACAAAGTCATAGTAATTATCATCAAATCTCATCAATGATCCTCTGTTCCTATACCCTTTTCTTGCTAAGAAAATATATGATTCTACATGTATGTGGAAACAGCTTCCATTAAGGAGTCATTCATAATAAAAGAGGCTTCATTAAGGGAACAAATAAGTTTTCTTTTGTGCATAAATCAGAAAAGCAATGAAACTTCGAGCTCTACAGATATCTGAAAATGCATTATAAAAGTGTGTCCAAATCAATCTTTTAAAAGTTCTTAAAATACTTAATAAAGTCATCCTTGCTAGCTGTTCCAGGTCACTCTGGTTCCCAATATAACTTCTCATGAAAACAAAATAAAATTATACTTTAATATCTATAATTTTTCATTAGGTTCAAACCATGCCTCTTAAGGCTGATACTTCTTTTAACATGGAGTACTTTTGCTTCAGCCCTTACTCCTA